GCTTGAGCCCAGGAGTTGGAGGTTGCTGTGAGCAGTAAAGCCATGGCACTCTACCCAGGGTGACAGCTTGAGGCTCTGTCTCAAAAAAAGAAAGAGTTCAAAAGAATACAACCACCACCACAGCAGCATTCCCTTATGGCTGTATACTATTTGCTTTTTACAAAGGGGTCTTACCTCTGCTCTCTACACATCCCTTTGCCCATGGACCAAGCAGGTCTGAGGCCTTACTGAAACCTCAGGGTCGGATTTCTCACCAATGCAACAAACTATCTCTGGACTCAACCTCCCCACAGGCTCTTGCCTTGAGCAGGCATCTCCCTGTAAACAGCCTACACTTTGGCACCACACCTCCCTGCCCTCCCCAGCCAACACAGCCCAGCAGGCCACCTCCTCTCTGCTAACACCTCTCAGGGGTCCCTCATTACCTTCCAGCCCTCCAGAGTGGTCAGCAACCTCTTTCGCTTCATGACGGCAGGAGCACACAGCCCTTCCCAGTTTCTCAGAACTGGGAGAGGTGCACACTCCCCCACCTGTGTGGCCAGGTCCCCGAGGACTGAAGCCCCAAGGGAAGCAGGGACCAGTCTGGGGGCCTGAGGGTGTCAGCTTTGAAGGGAGTGAATGTGCAGGAAAGAAATGACAGCCCCCTTTACTCCCCACAGGGCAGTCGGGCTTCCTGAGGACATCAGGGTGGCACAAAACTTGGGGAGACAGGACAGGAAAAGAGAAAAGGGGAGGAGGAGGGAGAGAAAGGAAGGAAAGGTCACAGAAGATAGGAAAGATGGAAATGCAAGGTCGGATGAAAGTGGCAGGCCCTGTAGCCCAGCTCTCCTGCAGCCTGGCCCCTCAGCCTGTTGGAGGATCTGGGTCCCACAGCTGAGTCCCTTTGTCTTATCACTATGCAACAACGGAAGCAGCAGGAAATGGCTCAACCCCAGTATTTTTACACACATCGTGTAAGGCTGGGTCAGAGCCTTTGCTCTTTGTATGTATGGTAGGGGGTAGGGGTGGGGTCAGATGTACTTGGGGGAAGAGTTTAAACACAAAGAAAGTAGCCTACTCACCCACACCAGAACCGGAAAAGGCCTATGCCAATTACAGGCAGGAGTCACTCTGGTTCGATTTCTGCCAAGGTGCAAAGTTATTGCAAAACACTATTGAAAACAAATGCCTGTCAAACTCAGGAGGCAGAAGAGGGCGGTTCCTCTGTGGGCTTCCTTGGGGCTTTTTCAGGTCACTGTTCCCCTGGAGATGCTGGGGCCCATGATGATCCTTGCCCACCCCTTCTGAAGTCAGGATCTTCCTCTTGTGTTGCTCTGGGTCTCCCCCCATGTCCCTCTGCCTTCCCACCAGGTGCTCTAAAGTTCAGGACTTTGCTCCTCAAAACCCCTGATGTTTTATATCCAGGGAGCCAATTCCACAGTCTCCCTCAAATGATCTGCCTGAGGTCTAACAGTCACAAGAGTCTGACTTAAAACTCTATCTTTCAATTAAACACTCCTCTCAAGCCTCGTTCCCTACAGTGACTACAAATGGCCCATGTCGTGATTTTCCTGGTCCTCAGTGTCTTTGCCTATAGAATGGGCATAATCATAGCTACTCTCATGTTCCTTGTGAGGATTACACAAGTTGATATCCCACAAGCACTTAGCATAGTGTGAGGTAGACAGAAGGCACTCATTAAATGCTGAGTCTGGATCTAGGCAGCACAATCCCTTTTTCCCCTTTAGGGAATCAAGCTGCAATCCAGCTGGCCTGAATTTATTTCAGATATTATATGACCACATTTATTCCACACTGAGAGAACTACATAAAATTCGGTGTCATATGTAACACATGGCCTTTGATATTAAAGAACATGACTCTCTTATAAAGCCACTGTCCTGGCTGGGTCCAATGGCTCATGTCTGTAATGCTGGTATTTGGGGAGGTTGTGGTGGGAGGATCCTTTGAGCCCAGGAGTTTGACACCAGCCTGGGCAACATAGTAAAACCTTGTCTCTACAAAAAATAAGAAAACCAGATGCAGTGGTGAGCACCTGTAGTTCCTGCTACTTGGGAGGCTGAGGTAGGGGAATCTCTTGAGCCCAGGAGCTCGATGCTGCAGTGAGCTATGATTATACCACCTGCACTCCAGCCTAGAAAGAACAGGGCAACAGGGAGAGACCCTGTCTCTTAAAAAGGAAAAAAAAAAAGCTACTATCCTTTCCAAGGACTCTTTTACTCTCTTTCTAGAGGAAAGAACATCCAGAAAATGGGTTTGAGTCTGGCTGCATCACTGCCATTTGTCTCCGTAAACGGAGAGACCACCTGTTCCACCTACTCAGGGGACAATGGGAGGACCCAACGCAAAATGGAAATGTGAAAAGCGAAAAGTGCTTTAGGACCACAAAGGAGTATAAAATAATAAAGTCTCCACCTGCCATAGCCCCTTTGACAGCTTGGCCCTTTCCTCCCTTGATTGGGCATCTGTCTAGCTTATCCATGGAAAGCAGAGGTGAAGCTGGATGTGAAAGCCCCACAAATAATTGAGGACTAGACACTCCCAAGAAAAACAGCCAGGGCCTGATGGTAGGGTACAAAGGCCTGGGCTGGGGTATTGGCTCCCTTGCTCACCCCTCTTCTATACCCAGACACAAGCCTGAGAATCCTGCAGCAAAACACCAGCTCCTCCCTGTCCCTCCATGGAGGCCTGGTGACCTCCTTGGTGACATGACAGTCTACAATGCCTGGATCAAGCTGGTCTATCTCTAGTCTCAGAACATCCCCAACCTGTCCTCCTCCCCAGGGAGAACTCAGCTCCACCAACTTCCAGGAAGGCAGCATCTTTTCCCTGTGGCCTCTTGGCTCTTCTCAAATTACAGTTCTATCATCATCAGTACCCAGCGCTAACCGATTGTGCAACTGGAGCTCTCAAATTACTGTTCTAAATGCCTTGGGCAAAGGATAAAGGTAACAGTTATAGTCATCTCTCTTCATCCACAGGTTCTGCATCAGCAGATTCAATCAACTATGGATCAAAAGTCTTTTTTTAAAAAACCAAGGTGGCTCCTATAGCTCAGTGGGTAGGGTGCCAGCCATGTACACCAAGGCTGGTGGGTTAGAATCCAGCCCAGGCCAGCTAAAACAACAATAACAACTGCAATTAAAAAAAAAATAGCTCAGCGTTGTGGTAGGTGCCTATAGTCCCAGCTACCTGGGAGGCTGAGGCAAGAGAATCTCTTGAGCCCAAAAGTTTGAGGTTGCTGTGAGCTATGACACGATGGCACTCTACCCAGGGTGACAGCTTGAGGCTCTGTCTCTCAAAAAATAAAAAATAAATAAAAACCCCCACAAAATAACAATACAATAAAGAAAACACAAATTAAAAAACAAAGTAACAATTTA